ATATAATTCAAAAGAGATAATCTCTTAGTCAATTATCATAACCCGTTCGAATTTTCGACTTTTTTTTAGAGCATCACGCAAACAAAATAAAGTTTTCACGTGAGAAAGATTATCAGATATGGCTTTATAATAATGATTCTAAAGCCTGAAAAGTTTATCATACATGAAATCTCAGCAAAACTTTTGACATTCCATTTGAAGTAAATAACACGCGACGATAGTGAATTAAGAAATTTATTTACTGGTCTTGGCAGTAAAGAAGTAAACCTTCATCAGATATTACGAAGTAAGATATCACGTGACACCAACGAATTCACAAATTTTAGAATATTGATAAAGTAATTATTCTACATACCGTATAAACTTAAATTAGATTATTTTTGATACTTTGATTTCTTTTTAGATTTGTCATGTATTATGGTTCTTTAAATTGCATTATGCCTTGATTTCTTTATTATAATTAAACTTAAATATGGTATTTTTATTGAATTCCCCTCCTTGATTTGTCCGAAATCTCATGTATGATAAACTTTTCAGGCTTAATTTGCCCAGAATTATATTTTGATTTTTCCTGGAGTTATAGTTTTGCCAGGATTATGCATAATTTAGCCCGGGATTATGCATAAATTTGCTTGAATTTATAATTTGATTTTGCCCGGAATTATATTTAATTTTGCTTAAATTATATTTTAATTTTGCCTAGAGTTATATAGATTTTTCCTGAAGTTATGCAATAATTTTGCCCGGAATTATACTTAATTTATTATACTATATTTTTTTATATTCCCATAATTTTAAAGTAAAATTTCAAATAAATTAAAATTTTTAGAGTACAAATATTATTTATCTTGATATCTGATATAAGTAAAGTCAATACTTTTTTCATACGCTTATACGTGAATTGTCAAAACTAATAAATTTATTGATAAACCGGATTATCAATAGTTAGTCTGTTTAACAACATATTGTGATACTCCATTAAAATAAATTATGTTATAATTTATCAGTATAGTAAAAAAAAGTAGTTGATTTAATTAACGTGGGCCATAATCTTGGTGCGGACATGTGATATAACTGATAAGATTAATTTAAATTCGCGAAGTGTCCGTATTAGAGTTTTGTTTTTCTTCAATTATTACTGAAATAACGATGTGTAAGTATATTTAATTAAATTTTGCCTTGTATTGTTTTATATTATGATATAATAACATGTATTCATGATATTTAATTATAGATGACCGACCGATGTATATACCTGAAGAAAATTGGTGTTCTTGGTGCGACATGGATAATAAGAAATGTAAATGTTCTTTTGAAAATACTCGTATTTGGTTCGAAGTATCTGATTATTGTAAAAGTTGTTATATGTTTAAATCTTATTGTTATTGTGGTGCTATTGTTGGATGGAGGTGGGAAGATGTCGAGAATGAATGTTACAAATGGTGTAAATACTGCGACGAAGTTGGTGAAGACAATAAACGATATAAGAATCGAGCTAATCATAATTCGCGAGACTGTAAGTATAAACCATCAGAAAAGTTAAGTACTACGGATGGGTCGAAATTAACTGAAGAATGGAAAATGGAAAAAATCGAATGTTCAATTTGTTCAACAAAAAAGTGGATTAAACGTTATTCTAAGGGACAACGGTGTCCAAAGTCTAAAAAACAGATTTGGAATGATTGTTGGTTGGATATTGATGAATTAGGAAGGAATATTTTTACTTTATAATCACTGAATCTGTTTCATCCAAATCCACAATAATTGAACGAGAACGAGCTTGACTTAAAACTGTCGCAGTTTCGCCATTAAATATTACTGAAGAAACACCTTTTTCTGTATTTTGCATGGAATTATACTTAATTTTACTCGGAATTATACTCAGATTTATACTTAATTTTTACTGAATTTATATTTTAATTTGGCCTGGAATTATATTTAATTTATATTGCAATTTTGCATAACTTAATTTTGCTTGGAATTATATCTAATTTTGCCCGGAATTAATAGTTAATTTTGCTTGAAATTATATTTTAATTTTGCCTAATACTATGTTAATTTTGCCTGAAATTATATTTTAATTCTGCCTGGAATTATACTTAATTTTGCTTGAAGTAGGTTAGCAAATTACCGTAATTTTGCGTAATTTTACAAGAATTTAAGTTTTTTGAAAGCAAATTGCAAGAATAATGTTGGCCAAAATTTTCATAGAGCTAGCATGCAGATAAGCATAAAATTACTTCTGACCGAACGTATAATGGCAAAAATTATATGCAATGTAAATTATGTAATGACCGCCTTGAAATTATAGTTTAATTATCGTTATTGATCAATATATTAGTCGAAAAAGTTATAGCGTTCATATAAGTTACTTGTTAGCAGTTAGTACAGTTAATCTCCCATACGATCACCAATTTTATCTAGCGCACTTTTTGGTAATTATAGAGGTTAATTCATTAAAAAATGATTGGCTGATAAATATGCAGATTTTGTGAAACTGATAAATTGTTATCGTTATTAGTCTTCACATCCATCCTCACTTAACACTAATGTCTGAAGAAACTGGAAACTTTTATTCTCTGTATGAATTTTTAAAAACTGAACATGAGATTATATGGTTTGCAAACAGAAGACAATGATTGCAATCGACTACATCTCATTCTAGAAAAAGTATGGTCAGAAATTGTTGAAGAAAAACGTAAATTTTGTTTTAAACAGTTACAAGATATAGAGAAGATATCAACTTTAATAATTTAAAATTTATTTATATGAATATGATGATTTCTTTACTATGACAAAAGTAGGTAGCTTCGTTGCTCCCAAAACCTTATTATGTTACTGCAGGATGTAATAGAATTGAGGGAGCATTTACCTGCTCTTTAAGTTTTATTTATTTGAACATTGAGAAAATCCAGTCTAAATTATGGTTTTTATAATTTTAGAATCAATATCTTATTAACAATTAATATCTTATTACAGTTGTAATGTTTAGTTGTCATACTGGTTCTCCTCTAGATTTAAAAACTTTAAATTTTATTAGATATTTTATTTTAACAAATACTTATACGTTTGTTAATTCTAAAAGTACGCATTCTCTTGAGAGTTTAATGGTTTTTTAATTACTAATTAGTTTTGACATTAAATTTATTATTAATTAGTTGGTTAATAGTAATTGAAAATTAGGTCGTGCTTGTTAGTTTTATTATTTTTCCTTTTTTTATCTTTCGATATACTGTATTTTGTAAATAACGATAATTTTTTTATTAAAAAATTTTTATAAGTGTAATGGATATTTTAAATTTGATTGGCTAATAAAATTTTTTACATTTTACAAAACGCCTAACTCAAGATTTCACATGATTTGTTATGCAAATTTGTCAATAATACTTGTCAAATCCCAAACATAATAAAATTGTCCCAAATCCCAATCCCAAATTTCAATCCCTAACATAATCTCAAATCCCAATATTTTTGCCAACAAGTATACTCATTGGTGAGTTGAGCACATAAGAATTAAACTTTGCTTTATGAATAGATATATTTGATTCAATAATTTCAATTTCACTAGTTAAAGAATTTACGGCAGTTTTCGGTTAATGATAAATATAATGCTTTCAATTTCGCTAAACTATTTATCTCTAAATTTGCCAAAGCTTTTCTCTTCTTTATATCCTTAAGATTCTTTACAGTTTTTGGTACTTTAAGGGGTTCAAT